GAAGGAGGAGGAAGAGGAGGAGGAGGAGGAGGAGGAGAAGGATGAGGAGGAGGAGGAAGGAAGAAGGAGGAGGATGAGGATATTAGTTTCCCTTTATTGTCGTGCGGGCTTTGGGGGGGTCCTTCCCCCAGGGAACAAGGCTCCCTGGGCGACCCTACGCGACAGAGGAATTGTTGAGCACGTTTGTAGGAGGATTGCAATCTAGATCGACGCATCATTCGCCGAAGGGCGTTGCTCACAATCTCCCTCTTCACCTTGTCGTCGTCGCTGTTCTGCGGCGGGCGACGCGGGGAAGTAATGATTTCCCACTAGTGTTAAAGTCGGGCCTGTCCCTCTACAGGGGGGATGTTCAAAAGTAGTCAAAACATAGCCTGGGGACTATTCGTCGTGCATTGTTTGACCACTTCGGAGTATTTGTTTGACTACCTTTTATTTTTCGTCGAAAAAACCATGTAGGGGGACAGGCCCGACTTCTTACTAGCGGTGGGACCCCAGTTCGTTAATAAGGTCGCTGGACATGTAATTCGTTTCCACTGTTTGGGAGGGGTTGAGACCCAGTTCGGTTCACAACAGCCGAGTGGTGTTTTCTTGGAGGGCCCCTCGCGGGAGAATCCACCGACCTCGACATGAGTGAGTCGGTTGTGGCTGTGGTCGATTTGGCCGTGCTGGGACGCCCACGTCGACCACAGCCAGTGTTGCGTTGGCTCTGGTGCTCTGACGGTTGTTGGCATGCGCAAGACAGCCCCCCCGAGGGTGTGTCCTCGATGTGGTTGTGGTCGCACGCGGTCCCCGCAACCACCCGTTCGCAGCATGCACGAGCGCTGGGGGGTCCCAGACCCATTGAGAGTGCTTCACGGTTCTCCCTGCGCTCCCGGTTCACGTGTCCGCCGCCCCATGCGTTCCATTTCCCACCGCGTTCTTGCGATGCCAGTCCGCTCTCCTTCTGGGGGGGGCTGCGGATCACGCTGCAGCTGGAGAAGGACGACATCATCATCGCAACGTACCCGAAATGTGGCACCACTTGGGCGCAGCACATCGTCCTCAGTCTGGTTTATCCATGCGGCTACCGCAGTCGTTAGGCAAACCGAAGAGGAAGACGAACTTAGCAGGAGGGCCGTCTTCTTCTCGTCTTCTTCCACCTCCTCATCCTTAGCAAGTTTTGCTCAAACTGCGGCCACCCTGCTCGCGTTGTCGCTCCCACTGCGGTGGGTGTCTGGTTGGTCTCTCTTGGTAGTTTGGTGGCGCTGTAGCTTGGAGCCCCCATGCCCCCCCCCCCCCCCCCAGGCATGCCGCTGGGCTTGACGCCCAGGCAGGCCGCTGGGCTTGACGTGGCTACTCGTTTTCCTTGCGATGGTCTTCCTCGGCTAGCTGCCCTCGCTCGAAAACCTGCTGCAGCTCTTGCTCAGGTAGCCGACGTGACTGCCAGGCTGGGCGCCGCCACTGCTTTGAGACGCCTCCTTTGCCTACGGCACACTGGCGTTGTCGGGCCTTCGGACAGCCTGTTTATAGACCCCCCTCTCAGGATGCATCGCTGTCCCGTCGCGCTTGCAAATAGCTGCATGATGGACAGCCTCGACACCAATGCCTGCTAGTGAAAGCGCTTCACTGTCCCGCGCGTCGTCGCGCAGCACAACGTCGACGGTTGGGGCGCCATTGCCGACGCGGATTCCAGCACGGCCTGCCGCATGGACAACAGCACCGATCGCGGCAAGGATGGCAAGGACGACGGCACGTATTGCAGCAAGTGGTGCAGCATTGGGACGCAAGGACAGATGTTCTTGCGAGCTCGGCTGAGATCGGCACGCTGAGCGACAGGACGGCCAAGCTAGTCCTTCCGACCATCATTCACGGACTCCGACCTGCTCCAGATGAGCGACGCCCTCAGCGCCGCGCCGATACAAAGGATGTACGTAATTATAATCCAGACCATACGCGCAGTCGCTTCGTTGGGGCGCCACTGGATGCTATCTTCTGAGTCGACTCACTTGGCGATGGCGGCCTCGTCATCCTCATGAGCAGAGTGCCGCCCCCCGCCTCCGCGACCCCAGTGCTGCAAGACACCGCTCAGTCATTGGCTCCTCCTCCTCATCATCATCATCCTGCTCCTCTTCCTCGTCCATTCTCCACGGGGCTGTCGAGCCCTCTTCCGCTCGCCGAGTGTGCCTCGAAGGAAAAGGAGGGAGGGGAGGCGGAGAAGTAGCAAATCCGGCGACTCGCAGGGGCTCGCGAGATTTCTGGCTGCTTGCTCGGATGCGTTCGTCTTTGTTCGCCATGCCTAGTTTTCGAAGCTCGCAGGGCACTCCAGAAAAGATCTGCATCGTTCGAATCGTGCGGTCGTCAGTACAGAAGCGAGCTGTCTTGATGCAGGCCTGAAAGACAGCTCGTCGCCCCTCCCAGGCCCATCCTGACGGCGAGACAGCGGCGACGGTGGTTTTCTGCTCCGGGATTAAAGCTGTTGAGCTACTACCCCACCCCTGGCCAGAGAGCAGGAGTCGGAGTGGAAAGAGAAGGAGGAGGAGGAGGAGGAGGAGGAGGAGGAGGAGGAGGAGGAGGAGGAGGAGGAGGAGGAGGAGGAGGGAGGGGAGTGACACCTCAGCGGAGATGCCGGTCCAGAATTTGGCCAAGAAAAGAGAAGGGGAAGGAGGAGGAGGAGGAGGAGGAGGAGGAGGAGGAGGAGAAGAAGGAGGGGAAGGGGAGGAGAGGAGGAGGAGGAGGAAGGGGAACAGCAGCAGGAGCAGGAGGAGGTGTCCAGCGCGCCCACCGCGCCGCCGGAACGCCGGGGCCCAGCGTCCAACGGCGAACGGGAGGTGAAGAACGTCCAGGAGGACCTCGCGGGCGGGGGTGCTGCCGGGACCTTGACGCCGAGTCTGTCGGGGGCCACCTCTGTGTCACGGCAATCGCCGCATTCTGCGGCGCCCACGCGCGGCGTGCGGTCCAGAAAGGGCCTCGCCTTCAGCGTGTCTCGCCTTCGGCGCAAGGGTCGGCAGAAGCAGAAGGGAAGGCGGCTCCGCCGGCTCCGCAGAAGGCGGCGGAAGCGACAGGAAGGCGCCAGAGTGTTTGGACTCCATGCGTCTGGAGTGGGGCAGAGGGCCTCGGAGACTGCCCGTAGATTCAGATGGACTCGGACAGCCGCGGATTGTGCTCGGACGATTGCATTGCATGGGGCGTGTGCCATTCCGCCGACCCCCAGGAGTGGAGTTACGCGGCCTCCGTTGTCACGCGTGTTGCTTGCCACTTCCCGTCGTGCTGCCTGCATCTAGTTGTTGCGGACTCGTCCTCGCCACCCGCATCCGTTGAGGGGCTCCTTGGGGGCCTCGGGGAGGCCTCTTGAAATTTTTTCAAGGCTCCCTTTTCGGGGGGGGAACCTCTGGAGGCTATTGGAGCTTCTTAGTGGCCTCTTGAAGGCATGTTGGGGGTCTTGGGCGCCATCTGGGGGTGTTTTCCTGGGGTCCCTTCGGGTTCCCCCTCTTGAGTATCTCTTGGGCCTTTCGTGGGTTCTGTTGCCGTCTTGGAGGCGTCGTCTTGCCCTTTTGGGAGGCATTGGGCCGTGTTGTTGCCAAGTCCTCTCAAGTGCATCGGCGGGCATCTGGATGCCATCTGTACGGTTTCTTAGGCACGATCTGGGCTGTCTTCGGACCTCCGCCTGGGCTCGATGTGGGGCCTCGTTGGGCCTTCCTGGGTGATGCTGGTTGTGTCATGGACCTCTGGAGGCCACCTTGGGGGCAAGCTCAGGTAGCATTAAGTCGGGCCTGTCCCCCTACAGGGGGACTTTCGACGAAAAATCAAGAAATACCCCAACAATACCCCAAAAAGGTTTAAATATATTCCGAAAATAGTTCCAACACTATTTTTGTATGGTTTTTTAAAATTATTTGTGGGGTACTTTTTGTTTTTCGTCGAAAATCCCCCTGTAGGGGGACAGGCCCGACTTAAAGGTAGCATCGCAGCCACACGGGAGCCTCTGGGGGTCGCCGTGACGCAGTACCGGCTCACCCCAGGGGGGGGGATGCATAGCAGGCGAGAAAAACAGAGCATACCGAACAGCCATATCTCTATTCGCATGTTGTCGTTTGTCACCTCGAGCCGTGTCGCGGTGCTCGTCTTGGGGCCGCCACGGGGGCCATCCCAGGCCGTCTCTCAGTGGGCCCTGGAAACGACAGGGCAGTTTTTTTACCGGTTCCGTTTTGCCTTTTTTTGCCGGTTCCGACGCTGTTTTTTACCGGTTCCGTCACCGTTTTTTTACCGGTTCTGGCTCCGGGTCCACTCCTGGAGCCGTTTTTTTGCCGTGTCTGGTCGCCGTTTTTTTGCCGTTGCCATTTTCAAGGGACATTTTTTCGGAAACGGTGAAAAAACGGTTCCGGTGCCCACAAAGGGCCGTCTTCGACGATCTGGGTCTTCTTGGAAGCGCTCCAGGAGGGCTCGTGGGCTTGGACCTTCTTGGCCACCCAGTGACGTCCTGGCGCCTCGAGCCCCACTTACGTAGCCATGGGCCGCAGAAGAGAGACAGGACAGAAGAGAGAGGTCGGTAGACAGGAAACAAGATGGCGACGGGGGAGAGCGAGAGATAGAGGACAAGAGGCTCAACCAATACAGCAGTCTGCCCCCAAGTGGAACTGGTGGATTTCCGTAGCTTCCAATGATGCGTGGCCAGTGCGGGGATTGAAACAAAAAGGAAGGAAACACATTGCAGCGTGCCTCTGGCTGGAGATACATTCTTATCGCGTTGCTGCTGGTTGCGACGCTGACTCCAGAAGATGATATTAAAAATTGCTTGGAAGCCGCGTCTCCGGACAGGAAGACCGGGGAGCGAGACCGCTCGACCAGATGATATGATGTACCTTTCGGTTTCTCTTTGCTCCCTGCCTCCATTATCCCTTCTTCTCCGCCTCCTCCTCCTCCTCCTAATACTCCGCCCTACCCGGCTCATCCTCGTCCTCTGATATTTGCCCAGCTCGTATCCTATAACAGTGACGTGTATGACGTCGTGAATCTCAAGGTGCATGTTCTTGCGCGTAGTGCCAGCGTGTGTGTTGAGGGTGTTCACCCCGCAGGAGGCTCCTTACATAGATGCTGCTGGTATTCGACACCGTCGCCGCATGTACAACAAGGGCAAAGAGAAGGGCGCGAAGAACGGGGGCGACAAAGGAAAGGGTAATGATGACGAGAAGGGTGACGACAAGGGCAAAGGCAAAGATAAGGATAAGGACAAGGACAAAAGCAAGGGCAAGGATAAAGACAAGGACAAAGACAAGGACAAAGACAAGGACAAAGGTAAAGACAAGGACAAAGACAAGGATAAAGGCAAGGACAAGGACAAGGACAAGGGTAAAGATAAGGGCAAGGGAAAGGACAAAACCCTGCTTCCTGACGGGCTCAGCAGCCCTCGTGTGTTCAAAACACACGAGGTGCCGAACAATGCTCCATGGATAGGGGGCATGGACGCGATCGGAGGGCAAAAGATAATTGTTGTTGCAAGGAACCCGAAAGACACAGTGATATCGTGGTTCAAGCAGCAGCAGATGCTAGCAGAGGACTTCTTCGAGAAGCCCGCCGACTCCGTTACCCTTGAGGATGAGATCAGGAAGTTTTTCAAGGAGCCGGGTGCTTTTCGCATGTTGTCGAACCATTGCGACCGCGAGAGACGCCGAGTAGATTATGGAATCCTTCCGCTCACTCCGCAGGCCCACCCAGTGTGGCAGGGTCGTGGACAAGAGGCCTATTTGAGAGGCTTCTTGGAGTCTGTGGGGAGGCCTCTTTGGGGGCATTTTTGGAGGCTCCTTGGCCTCTCGGGACCAATTGGAGATTCTTCAAGCCCGTCTGGGGGCTTCTCTGGGGGCCTCTTGGGGCCATCCTTTTGGGCAAGGGGCCTCTTGAGTGGGCTTCTTGAGCGTTTTGGGGGTCCCTCACGGGCCGTTTTGGGGTCCTCTTGGGCAGTCTGGGGGCCCTCTTGGGACCCTCTTGTGCTGTCTTGGGGCGATCGTGGAGGCACTCTTGGGCCGTCTTGAGTCATTCCAACGCGCGAAAGACGAACTCAAACCCTTCCAACAATTCTTGAGCGAGTTTTGCCTTTGCGGGCCCTCTTGGGTTCCTCTTCAATCCGTCTTGGGGAGTCGTGGGCGCCTCTAGGGCCGGGTCCACCTGAGTCTGTTTTGAGGCCATTTTGAGCCGTCTTCCAGCGATCTTGGCCCAAGGTCGTGGAGCTTGCCACCGATTTGGGGCCAGCTCGGAGCGCTCCCGGACGGCGCCCTGGACGGACACAATCTCTGAACCGAGTCATCTGGGCTTGTCCCGGATTTTTTGTTCGTTCAGGGAACCTCAGGAACCGACCCCCGCGCGCGAACTAGAAATATTGTGGAGCTCTCACCAGAGAGGTTAGCATGCCTCTGGCCCGTTGGGCTGGTGAGGTCAAGCTTCTGGGGAAGAGGGCAACCATGTGAAAGGGTTCGGCCAAAGATGACATGCGGTGGAGCGGAAGTTGAAACACCGACACGCGCACATATGTGATCACACATGTATGCAAGGTGTATCCCTCACAAACGGATGTGATGTAATGCATTAGTTTGTTTCTTGGTTTGGACGTTTGACAAGGGAGTGTAGCCTTGTTAAGCACACTCAGGCATTTTCTGTTAACTTGAGAAGTAGTTTGTATTGTCTAGTGGCTATCGGCACTGTTTCAGGAGTTCTTAACCTGTATCTGGGTCAGGCTGAACCGCACAATGCGGCGAGAAAATCGCCTACGTGCGCAGAACACAGGTGATAGACGGACGCTGCCGTGCCGCAGCTGTAATTCGTCACGCTCGTGAGTGACGTTGGTATGAGTCCAGCTCAGTCCAGGTACGAGAGACGCTGCTTGGTTCTCGCACGGAGCACAGCCCTCGCGCAGCTTCCTCTGTGCAGAAGGACATGCTCGAAGCAGGCTGTGGTTAGGAACTCCCGGCGACAACGAGGCACGGCCACGAGGGAACGCTGGACTGGATTTGCTGTGCAGTTTTGAGGCCGGCCGCGACGGGCCAGCACAGAGCTGCCCCGTGAGGTGCGGCCTACTGATGCGCCCGTGTGGACCCACCAAACCACCCCAACCCAACCCGAAGGTCTCGATTTGCCCTCCATTTCCAGTTGGGGCGGTCGGGGAACATCGAGAAAACACATATGGAGCCCGTACCCCCCCCAACCCGAAATTCGGGTCTTCGGGTTGAGTTGGGGTGGTCTGGTAGGTAGTCACGGCTTGGAGTGCAGGCTCGGTTGTGACGGCTTGAACTTCATCTGAAGCCTCAGCGGGCCGAGGCCTCTGGGCGAGAGGGGCGGCGTGCCAGCCAGTCTTGCGAACTGTGTCACCTGTTTGCCCGGCACCGCGCACCCAGTCATCCCGCCCCTGTGATCTTCGGAGGCCTGACCTGGCCGAGCCTCCACCGGTCAGGAGCCTCGCCCGTGCTGTGAGCACAGCTCTCATGAGCCCCATCCTCTCTCCGAGCCGCCTGCGATACGGACAGGAGAGGACGAGGTGGCCTGGGTAGAAGGGATGATGACGATGAGGAAGAAGAGGATGAGGAGGAGGAGGTGGAACAGGACCAGGACGAAGAGGAGAAGGAAGGAGGACCAGAAGAGTTCACTGATGACCAGATGTGGGGGAGGAGGGGGGAAGAGGACGAGGAGGAGCAGGAGGAGGAACGGGGGAGAAGGAGGGACGGAGAATGAGGAGGCAAAGGAGCAGAGATGAAGAGGAACCGGGGGAAGCAGAATCTGATGACAGTTGAGTCCCGACGATCTTAAATCACACCAAAAGACCGTTCCTGAGACTTCAGCAATGCGAATCAACATGAGTACTGCGTCCTGGCAGTCCTAGATCGTGCCAGAACACGAATCAATTTGACAGTTCCGTCCTGACAAGTGTAGATCGCGCCAGAAGACCGTTCTTGGGACTTCAACGACGCGAATCACTGTGAATGTTGCGTCCTGACAATCCTTGATCGTGCCAGAACAGTGCTCATGGGACTTCAACCATGCGAATCCGTGAAACGGTTGCAAGCTTAACAATCGGATTCGCAGGAATTGCCCTTCATCCTTGAGGCGGTTGCACGTTTTTAAGACGAGTGTGCGCGGCGCTGAGGCGACAGCTGCATGATGAAAGGGAGGCGCCCTCCTTCCTGAGAGCTGCTGCACATCGTTTTCGCGAAGGTGCGCAGCGCTACGGCGAGGGCCACCTTTTGAAAACGAGCCGCCCTCCCTGCACCCCAGAAACTCAGTTTCCGCCGTCGCGTCGTCGTCGTCGTCGTCGTCGTCGTCGTCGTCGTCGTCGTCGTCGTCGTCGTCGTCGTCTCGCGTCTCTCGTCTCTCGTCTCTCGTCTCTCGTCTCTCGTCTCTCGTCTCTCGCTCGTCGCGTCGCGCGCGCGGGCGCAGCTGCGGTGCCGGAGCCACACGGCGGGCGGGACGTTACGTCATACCCCCTCTTCGCCCCCCCCCCCCCTTATGACGCCCGTCATCGTCGAACATAAAGGAACGCTCTCCTGCTGCGATCTTCAAGCGTCAGGATCACGAGTGGCAGGGAAGTTTTCGGGGAACTGGCCCGCCCGCCCCCCTACCGGCACGCCTGGGGTCGCGCCGGGGAGCAGCTGCTCATTGGGCAGGGGTCAGGAGGGGACAAAAAAAAACACAGACACAATTCATCGACGATTCCCCAGAAAAGATGGGGAAATATGGGAAGTGGGGGGGAAGACGAAAGCCCAGAAAATATGGGGAACTATGGGGAATCCGGTTATTGGGGTGTATTTATTTGATCGCTTCGCTCATTCCGCCGGCCCTGGAGCCCTCTTTAGGGCCTCTTGGGGGCCTCTTGGGGACCTCTTGGGAGTCTCTTGGGGCTCCTTGGCGGCGTCTTGGGGGCCCCCAGGGCCTCTTGGGGGGCTCTTGTGGGCCTCTTGGGGCGGGAGGGGGGGTAGTCGATTGCGGCTCCCCCCTCGGAGGCCACGATCCTACTGAGGGGTGTCGAAAAATTGCCCGGTCCGGGGTCTCCTCCTGGGACTTGCCCGGGGTACTTTTCGCCCGGGACCCCCAGGGGCCGCCCAGCGCGCGCGAACTAGAAATATTGTTAACCAGTTACCGGAGATCTTAGCACGCCTCTAGGCCGTTGGGCCGGCGAATTTGTGTGTCCCAGGGCCCCTTCAAAGGGGTTGGAGGAGGAGGGCGACGACGACGACGAGGACGAGGAGGAGCAGCAGCAGGAAAGAGGAGGCGGCTGAGGAGGAATGGAAGGAGGAGAGGTGGAGGAAGACGGCGATCAGGGCGAGATCAGCGACCCTGACATCGAGCCGGGCGACTTCTGGGACTTTCACATAGCATGGTGGCAGGCCTCCGTGCAGCCGATCTCCTCTCGCTCCGCCACCTTCCCAACTCACCTCTGAGGGTCGCGAAAACACATGGCGGCATGTGGCTCTTGATCTCGACCTCCGCAGGGTCGTCCTCGGACCGCAGGACCACCAACCAGCGACGGGCGGCGAAGAGGTGGCCCGGATGGGCTCCGGGGACCGCGCGGCGCTGCCTTTCCTCGGGGTCAGACGCTGGCGCGTTTGTTACTGTCGGTTGCCCCGTAACACCTTGGATCCTTTGGGGTGGCATTCTTGGTTGCACCCGCTCCTGCAAGGGCTGGAAAGGAGGAGGAGGAGGAGGAGGAGGAGGAGGAGGAGGAGGAGGAGCAGGACGAACGAGGTTCACTTGGGGCCCACCGCTGGCAGACCCCGCCCTGCGTCTGGTGGCAGGTCAAGGCTGGGGGCGAGAGCGTGCTGTGGCTGAATTACGAGGACATGGTGAAGGACCTGGAGGCGCAGGTCCGCAAGGTCGACGCCTTCCTGGGGCTCGGGCGATCAGAAGAGGCCGGCCGTTCTCCTGCCGTCCCGCGCTGCTCTCTGCGCAGCGCACGCGATGTTGATCCCATGGGCGCACTGGCCTGCTTGCCAGGGGCCGTGGCCGTGGGGGCGAGGGCCCATGCAGCGCGCATCTGCGATGGTGGGAGATCTGCCCCCTAAGGCATCCAGAGGGGCACGTGGGGCGTGGAGCTTTGAGCTTCGGGCGCCCCAGGGTTGCCGCGGGTATAAAGGCGCCCTGGGCGTTTTCCTAGCGTTTTCCACTTTGGGCTCTTGACAGGCTGAAGGCGCTTTTTGTTACTACGTTGTTTTAGCGTTTCCATGGCTGTTGTTTTGGTTTTGTTTTGCTTGTGTTGCTGCGTTCCCAGGCTGAAAGCGATAAAGCACCGTTCTGAAAATGCTAGAACAACGCATCATTCATTTAGTTATTTTTATAGTTTTGTGCTGAGATTTCAAACGCCAAATAATCGTTTCCAAGACGCCGAGCTGAAAACGCTAAAAAAACGCCCCGGGCATATTTTTGAGGCGATGGCCTTCGGGGGCTAAGACACACTCCAGCGGGACAACTGCTGGCATGCCAGTTCTTTTTCGAGGTGTCTGATTACCGGTAGACCCTACGGCGGATGATTTTATCCGGCGGCTCGCAAAGTGATGGGAGGGCTTGGAGGGGCGACTTCAGCTTTCTAAGAAACCAAGGACTTTTGTAGAAGCCCTCTGGCATTCTCTGAGGTATTCTCCAGAGTCTCCCACCACTCCTGAGAAGCACCCAGCCTTATCAGACGGCCATCCCCCTCGCGCCTGCCACTTCTTTGCATGGCCTGTCAAGGAACATATGTATCCACATGTTAGCCAGCGTGGACCCCAAACCGTGTCTTTCTAGTCAGCTATGCTGTAAACTCGATGTGGAGCAGTATATGTGGTACAACCAACGTGGCGCAAATTATGGAAAGCAAAGTATACGGTGGAGCCATCTATGCCGTGCCATCTATGTGGTGCAGTCTATGCTTTGCAATCTACGTGGAGCAACCTGTGTGGTGCTATCCATGTGGTGCGCAATGTATGTCGTGTGATGCAGTCTATGTTTGGCCATCTACGCGGCGCAACCTATGTGGTGGAATTGGCGTGGTGCATCTTGTGTGGTGCAATCTAGCAATTCACTTTGACCGTCTTGAGGCTGTCCTCTCCATTGGTCGTGCAAACATCCCACCCTCCCACCCGCAACTTGGTCGCAAGACCTCTTAAGACGAGACCGTGACGGTAGGTACCACATGGCACTTGGCCACGACACCGACGCCGACGACGGCAGCGACAACGACGACGACAGCGCCGCCGACACCGACTGCGACGACACCGACGACGTCTCCAATGACTTCGACGACGACAACGACGACGACGCCACCGACGACGACGACGACAACGACGCCGACGACGACGACGATGACAACGCCGACGACAACGACGACGACGACGACGCCGACGACGACGACGCCGACGCCGACGACGAAGACAACGACGACGACGACGACAACGACGCCGCCAACGAAGACGACGACGACGACGAGGGAGGAGGGAGGACGACGACGACGACGACAACGACGGCAACGACGAGGGAGGAGGGAGGACGGCGACGACGCGAACGACGAAGAAGGAGGGAGGACGGCGACGCCGCGACGAAGGAGGAGGAAAAACGACGACGACGACGACGACGACGGCGACGAAATAGGAGGGTCGACGACGAGACGCCGACGTCGGACGACGACGTCGAGGGAAGAGGAAACGACGACCACGGCGACAACGACGACGGAAACGACGACGACGCCAAGACGACGACGACGAGGAAAGACAGAGAACGACGACGCCGACGACGACGGAGGAGGGAGGACGGCGATGACGACGACGACGACGACAGAGCGCGAGCGCACGCTTTTGTTGAAAGTCCGTATTGCGAAACCTTGTGTTTTTGTAGGTTTTTTGGACACACGATTATGAAATCCTTCCGAAACCAATGGGTTTTGAAGGATTTCGGCATACGCGCGCGACGACGCGCGCGTCTCGATTTTTACGATTTTTACGACGCCGAATCGATTTTTACGACGCCCGACGACGACGACAACGACGACACCGTCGACCACGATGACGTCGACGGTGCCGACGACGACGACGACGGCGGCGACGACGACGACGCTGACGCCGACGACGACGACGCCGATGCCGACGACAACGACGAAGACGACGACGACGCCAACGAAGACGACGACGAGGGAGGAGGGAGGACGACGACGGCGACAACGACGACAACGGCGACAACGACGAGGGAGGAGAGAGGACGGCGACGACCCGAACGACGAAGAAGGAGGAAGGACGGCGACGCCGACGACGACAACGACGAGGGAGGAAGGAAGCCGACGACGACAACGACGACGACGACGACGACGGCGACGAAATAGGAGGGACGACGACGAGACGCCGACGACGGACGACGACGACGACAAGGGAGGAGAAGGAAGGACGACCACGGCGACAGCGACGACGGAAACGACCACGACGCCACAGAGGACGACGACGACGAACACGAGGAAAGAGAGAGGACGACGTAGGCGACGACGACGACGACGCGGGAGGAGGGAGGACGGCGACGACGACGACGACGACGCAAGAGCGCGCGCGCACGCTTTTGTTGAAAACCCGTGTTGCGAAACTGTGTTTTTTGTATGTTTTTTGGACACACGATTTTCAAAGCCTTCCGAAACCGATGGGTTTTGAAGGATTTCGGCTTACGCGCGCGACGACGCGCGCGTCTGCACTTCGTTTCATTCTTTTGCAAAGGATTCTCGCGACGGCACACGCGCAAGGGCGTTCGACAGATTTCGACATGCGCGCGCGCGCGAAGCCTGTTTGGTAGCATTGTGTGAACATCTTGAAAAAAATGGTTCTCTTAAGATTTTGCAGGAGCTCGCGCGTAAGCTTTGTTTGGCAAATCAGTGTTGCAAACCATGTATTTTGTATGTTGTTTGGAAACTCGATTACCAAATCCTCCCGACACCGAAGGTTTTTGAAGGATTTCGGCATGCGCGCGCGACGACGCGCGCGTGTGCACTTCGTCAAATTTGTTGCAAAGGATTCGCGAACAAGTCTTATGATAGAACAAGGCATGTCCCCGCGCATCGTTTTTTAACAAGGGAATCTCAGGGGGACCGATACCGGTTCCCCTGGGATATTGTAAATTCATATTTAGGATGGGCATGTGGTCAGAGTCATATATGAATTTCATACCCGAAAGGGGGGCGGCGAACGCCGGGGGGGGTAGAGTCCATTCTGTTTTTAGAAAGGAGAATTCACTTGCCGAACTTGAAGCTGACAACTCCACTGCTCGCGCAATCATCCCACCCACCCACCCGCAACTTGGTTTGCAAAATCTCTTGAGACCGTGACGGTGGGTACCAAATGGCACTTGGCAGCGACAGCGACGCCGACGACGACAGCGAAAGACGACGACGACGCCGCCGACAACGTCTACGACGACACCGGCGACGTCTCCAACGACTTCGACGACGCCGACAACGACGACGACGACGACGACGACACCGACGACGACGACGACGACGCCGACGACGACGACGACGACGATGACAACGACGACGACGGTGACGACGCCGACGACGACGACAACGACGACACCGACGGCGACGACGACATCAACGACGCCGACTTCGACGACGACGACGGCGGCGACGACGATGACGCCGACGCCGACGACGACGAAGACGACGACGGTGCCGACGCCGGCGACGACGAAGACGACGACGACGACGACGTCGCCAACGAAGACGGCGACGAGGGAAGAGGGAGGACGACGACGGCGACAACGACGGCAACGACGACAACGACCAGGGAGGAGGGAGGACGGCGACAACGCGAACGACGAAGAAGGAGGAAGGACGGCGACGCCGACGACGACAACGACGAGGGAGGAGGGAAGACTTCGACGGCAATGACGACGACGACGACGGCGACGAAATAGGAGGGACGACGACGAGACGCCGTCGACGGACGACGACGACGACAAGGGAGGAGGAGGAAGGACGACCACGGCGACAACGACGACGGAAACGACCACGACGCCACAGAGGACGACGACGACGTAGGCGACGACGACGACGACGACGCGGGAGGAGGGAGGACGGCGACGACGACGACGACGCAAGAGCGCGCGCGCACGCTTTTGTTGAAAATCCGTGCTGCGAAACCTTGTGTTTTTGTAGGTTTTTTGGACACACGATTTTGCAATCCTTCCGAAACCGATGGGTTTTGAAGGATTTCGGCATACGCGCACGACGACGCGCGCGTCTGCACTTGGCTCCGTTTTTTGCAGAGGATTCTCGCGACGGCACACGCGCAAGGGCGTTCGACAGATTTCGACATGCGCGCGAGAAGCCCGTTTGGTAGAATTTATTGGTTTTCTTAAGTTTTAGCAAG